AGAACCCAGAAGCAGGGGAGATGTTGAGGGTTTGGACAGATGACGGATTGAAGTGGCAATGGGAAGATAGAACAGCCCTGGTCTCCTTTCTCCATGAGCAGAGGGCAGGGGGAGAGACAGCAGCCTTCAAGGTCAGGGTTTTAGATGATATTTCTTCATGAGCCTCTGTGTGCCTCGTCCTCCTCTAAGGACTGAGGATGCAAGAAAAGGTGCGAGATGTGGTTGTTATCCCCAAGGAGCATGCAGTGGTACCCAGGCAGTACTGTTGCCTATGAAATATTTAGAGGTACGTGTCATTGTAGCCCCGTTGCAATTACCACTAACTCTGTTAATATCTCCTCAATAAATCTAGGTGTTTCCATGAGAAGTTAAATTTATTGGGCATTTTTAGAAGAATGTCCTTAGTTATCAGCTCTTTCACCAATAGGTTACCTTTGGGCAGAAATAGAAAGCTCATGGCTCAGAGTCCTCCGTAAAGCTTTACCACAAATTCAGATCATTTGAATTCCAGTACTCTGTTGAATTCATCTAAAAACAGTGTCTTCAATTACTCTGGATTTTTTTCCCTCATAGCAAAGAATCGGGGCATGAACAAACAAGGGCATGGCCTAGCTTTCAGCCTGTTCACTATTCAAGTTTTGGGAAAAAAGCCTTCGGCACTGCCAAGACAAAAGGGTTTTAAGTCACTTAGATTGCTCCTAGAAAAAAAAATTGACTTTGTGAAAGGCAGGCATTGCTTAAGAATGATGACACTTGCCACGTCCACAGCAGCTCACATGGTACCTAGCACATATTAAGTGCTCAGAAATGTTTGTTGATGACTCATTGACCATTTATCACTTTCTGAAGGGGAGAGAGTTGACAGGGAATGAGCAGGAACCAGAAAAATAATTACAAAATATTAGAACTAGAAGGGAATGATGGACCACCTAGCAAGTACTCTCAGAAAGCCAGCCCTGGTTACTATAGTGTTTGCTGACTATCCTGTACCACTGCGTTCCAAAGTTAGTAACTGGTTACAAAGGTGAATGCGGACTTGGGACCTATCACATCAGCTTGGTTGGCTGGTGTCAGCCAGCTCCCCGCACTTCGGGATATTTAAAAACATTTCCTTAGGGGTTTATTATAGGGGAATTCCATTCTCATACTACTTGTTTTTTAATAGCCATTACTTTACCTAGATACACAATGATAAAGACTTAATTCAGGCTTAAGGAGGCCTCAGTCAGTCCAAAGACAAGTCCCCAGTCAAAAAACATTGAAAGTGAAAACTTAAAGTCGTATGAATGGACTCAACTGGCTAAAAATATCTCCCCAAATGCAGATTTTTTTTTTTTTTCCTTCGCTGGACTCTGCAGACAGAGAGCAGACCACGAGCAGACTGGGTTAACTTCATCTTCACAGGCAGACATGGGGCTCGCAGGAAAGCTGGTTGTAGCAACAGGAATTTAATACCGGGATCAGCACGTTCTCTGGATTGGATTTGAATTTTTTATTAATATTATGCTTGGACCCCGAGAAAATTCATTCAGCCAGCCCGACTTATGACACTAAATGACTAGTTAACCATACGTACTAATCACATAAATATGGTTTATGGAATGATATAAAATGGTTTCTGAAATCACTTTTAGACCATCTTTTCAACAGTAATTATACCTGCCCTGGAATACCTTAAACCAAGTGATACTGGCAACAATTAACTTAAGCATCTTTAGTCTTCTGATGATTATCGTACAAAATTGCCACTGCAATAAAATGACAGGGTTGTTTTAATTTCTCTTCTTCCACTGCATTTCTCTTTTTTCCCCTTTCCCATTAAAACATACTTCATAACATTTCATCATGGGAGAAGTCTGCCTAAGTTTCCAGTTGCTGAAATTTAGTTAAACCATAAAATTGTTTCCAGATTACCAACCATGAAATGGAAAGACAATCTTATTTATGAATTTATAAATCAGATAATCTCCCTCAAATGAATCCTGAAACCAGAAACACTTTGATGATTAAACAGGAGGGGAAAAGTTTTCTCATTACCATGTGTCAAATACAAAATTGTATTTCTGTGAAGTGGATTTGGCCAAGACAGTGGAACACGCATGTGCAATCCGTGTGCACAGCGCCTGGGGCATGCACTGTTTCCTGAGCAGGGGGAGAGAATCGCTCTCCCTCGACCGTCAAGCTCAAGTGTACTGAACTCTCAAGGTTCTGGCAGATCATGTCTCCTTCCTGGTGACCCCACTGGTGACATAGCCTGGCGGAGGCCACCCAAGGAGCATCCCGTCCTGTCCTCACAGATACAAAAAGGAGAACAAGCGTGTGGATATCTGGACTAAACGCAGGGCTGTTGCTCTGCAGCATCCAGACCCTCATCCTATGTCAACGTCATCCCTGGGTAGTCAGGAGACTGGGGCGCCGTTTGGGAGTTTTCTTTCTCTGCATCCTAAAACCGTTGTCTAGGGGAAGATGGGTGAGAAGCCAAGTACCTGCTGAGCCAAGGCGGATGCCAAAGGCGTGTACGAAGCCCTGTGGACACCCCTCTGAGAGGACCCACCTGTGCTGAACCACTCGGCAGTTCTCACCATGGTGATGAATCTGTTGATGGTCAACGTCTTGAATCTGGAATGATTCTAGTGCTTTGTTTCAGTTTTTAATGCTGCTGCCCTCCTTTGTTAGACCAGTTAATGAAAGCTGGTGACCAGAGAGGGACCAGAGAGTACACTGATTTAGCCCTAATCAGGACCGTGCCTAGGCCAGCACTGGAATCCGTCTGCCGTTTCTCTCCCACCAGACTCTTGCTTATTCTCTGCATCTGTGGACTTACCTACTGTTTACATCTCTTAATGTGATTGTCTCTTGAGTGTAGTCAGTCTCCGCACCTTCGTATCCTGCACTACAGCTTCACAGAACCCGTTAAGCCTCTTCCTAACCAAAGCTGTCTAGACCCTAAGAATGTCCTGCCATTTTAAAAGAAATGAAATCCTTTGCATTTGCCTAGGATTGAATAAGAGCGTTAAACTCGTACATCTCGGGGTAGCTCTCTGCCACTCTTAGGGTCTTGAGTTTGGCTTCCAGCCTTACTGTGGGAAGAATGGGCGTTCTGGACAACTTCTACCTGGAACTCAGCAGGTCCTCCCAGAAGTGGTCCATTTCCCAAGAGCTCATTTGTGTGAGTCTGTACCCCTGACACATGGAGACAAGCCACCACCCCATCGCTTCTGAGCTGCCATGCAACTTGGGTCTGATAAACTTGGAATCTCCCATGGGTATTTACTAACCTGCTTTCGTGAGTGGAATTTCTTACTTATTTTTCTCTTTGGCAATGCCCTGCTTAATGGCAGACAGGCCGCCAAGAATACACGTATAGCTGAAAATGCTCTGCAGCTCAGAGGTTTGGCGTTCACAGCTATGCCTGAAAACACTTGCAAAGTCATTCCGGGTAGATGCATATCTCTTCTCACTGTTTGAGATTTCTTCTTTCCACACTATTAGAACAAAGAGACCATACTATTAATGCTTAATTTTTTCCCCCCAGTGGGTTGACAACCATTAACTCTCCAGACTGCACGACTTACATCCAAGAAACCCAGTATTGTGACACAACCGTCCATTTTAAACTAAAGAAAATGCATGGAATTCTGAAGTCAGAAGCTTGCGATTGTGAAATGACTCTCAATGGGTTTTTTTTTACGGCACTAAGAGTTATATTCCAAAGGCAAAACGCAAGACCAAAAAGTTGTGTATGAACAAAATTACCCTTGAAAGTCCTCTTGATTGCCATGAAGTTCAAGATACAGATACAGCATCTCTCGTGAAGTCCAGCATATCAGTTATTTTGTTCTAGTGAAAGAACAGACCCCATGACTCTTTCTGTTGGGTACCAGGTAAAGCAGTTGGCTTGTATTTAAAAACCACAGTGTCTGAAAGTGCTGTTTGTAGCCCAGGAATCATCACCATTGCTCATACTACAAGAGGCCCATGGGACTGAGACCCCCCGTGAAGAATGGGGTCCCTTTTCTGTCTCAGGCTGGGACTAGACACTTGCTGATGGCATACGATGGCAGTCCAGGTGTCCACACTGTTCTGACTCTTCTCCCTTCTCTCTTTTATTGTCTTGAACTACCAAGTAGGTGTAACTGAATTCACATGCCAGTGCGTGTGTGATGGCTGTCCTTAGCAGAGGTCACTCTGTGGTGGTGATTTGATAATGTGTTGGGAATACTGGGAATAGTTCCTTGGCGCTGCCGTTGTCTGACGTACAGAAATGGGAGCCAGTTTCAAAAGCTACATGAATTGTGCATAGCCCCGGAGAGCCCTGAACAGAGAGGTGTGGTGTCTGTGCATAATATCAAAATCGGGAAGAGTTTTTATTTAGGTCTTGAGATAACCGAGTTGTTAGGGGTATTTGTTTTCCTGCTTGATCCTGTAAAAGCCCCCAGGTTCCTATGACATTGAATTGAGGACCCTCTACCCTCAAGGAAGACATTGATGTCAAGCACACTTTTCCGTGTTCGTAAGAGACATTCGCTTTGTGTTGCTCTTGGGCTTTACAACAAGTTTTACTCCAGACACACAACGAACATCTCCATCGTTTACACCAAAGTCAGTCAGCAGCCTCCCAGCTGCGGGGAGGAACACAGCTCAGAAGTGGCCTAGGGTCCCCCTGGTGCAGAGGTCAAATAGTAAAAGAAGGGCAGAAAGGCTCAAAAACACAAAGATGCACAAAGAGAATTATTTCCAAGCTTTTCCGTTTTCCATGAGGCCTCTGCTGGTCTGTCCAGTGTCTTTTCAGTAAGGTCATCGGGTTAATACTAAACTCTGTCCATCAAATCTTGAGCTCAGTGGGAATTTGCAGGCTCGGTAGCTTCCCCGAGCCAGGTTGGGGTGAACTTTGGAGGCCTGCTAAGTGGAACTTTTATAACCCTCAGATGATCATTCACCTAGACGAACCAGTCTGAAAGTCAACATAAGCTTTAACAAATAATTCTCTTGTTTTACAGAGAGAGGATGCAAGCCATGGAGAAACAGATTGCCAGTTTAACTGGCCTTGTTCAGTCTGCGCTTTTTAAAGGGCCCCTTACAAGTAATAGCAAAGATGCATCTAGGTAAAAAAAAAAAAAAAAAAAAAAAAAAAGGCAAACCAATTCAAAGTAATTCAATCTGTTTCTCTTTAATAATTAAGATCATTCATTCATTCCAATCGTTTTCTTGTAATCATTTCAAGGCTGAAAATACCCGCATCTCTATGAATCATGGTTTGTTTGCTTGTCTATTTCTGGTAATTCTTTGGCCCAAGAAGGGTAAATGGGCTTCCCAGTGCATGTGGCTTCATGGACCACTGTGCAGTGCCTGCCGCCACCATCCACATGTATCCACATCCTCCGTCATCTGAGGGCCATGAGCGTGCCTCAGCTGCACACCTGGGAAGCCTTTTCCATCCCGGCCAGTAGTGGTGCTGACGCTGAAATACCTTCATTGCTTAATACCCTCACTAGCTGCTGCTGATTGCTTAGAATAGTGAATGGAAGGGGGGGACGCATTTGGGAAACCGGATCGCTGACTCTCTTTTTCTTTCCTTCAGCGAGAAAGTGATGAAAACCACAGCCAATAAGAACCACACAGATGGTGCAGGTGAGTGTCCTCCAGACCTGCAGGAGGCCTGGACGGTGCCTTTGATGAGCCTGGTTTGCTTCCAGACGTATTAACCTCTCCCCAAGTCACCTGTTTGATGCAACTTCAGAGGCTCTGGGGTAACTCCCTGCACCACCCCTTCCCTGCTTAATGCTGAAATTCCGGATGAGTCATTAATTTGCAGGGGGCGGTCTTTAGTCCTCTCCCTTCAGTCTTCATTCATTTATTCACTTCCTCCTTCATTTATTCATTTATGAGGCCATATATCCAACAAATGCTTATATGCCTGATACTGGACCAGGGCAGTGGACATCACTAGGACAAGGCTCCCTGCTCCCTAATCCGATGCAGAAAATGGATCTGGAACAGGTCATTATATGTGTGCTGAGTGTTAAGAAAAAGTGCAGGATGAATGTTTACCCAACAGAGCTGGCCTCAACCAAGGCCATTTCCCTGAGGAAGTAAAACAAACTGAGGCCGAAAGGATGAGGACAGAAGGAAAGAGCCATTCAAGTAGAGAGCAAAGCATGTACAGATGTTGTGGTGAGGAATTTAGATACTATTCTAAGTGCAGAGGGAAGGCAGTGGAAGGTTCTACAGCGGGGAAGGGCCTCAGCCCAGCTGCAGGATGTGACCGGATGAGAAAGGGGCACGAGCTGATAGGGTGCCCCCATGGGTCAGGGCAGGAGAAAGAGGCGTGCTTGGACCAGGGCCTGCTTTCAAATGCCAGCATCCCCTCAAAGAGGCCCCAGTTATAGCCCCTGTGCCCTTTACTAGTATCCAGGTATATTTGATGTCCATCTTATCCTGCAGACTCAAGGTGGGCCTCTCTCAAGAATATGAAGTCTTCCCTTCCCTTGGGTTAGAAATAGAAATCGCCACCAGGGACATGCTTGGCTACTGAATTACTCAGAAAGCATGTGGCAAGTTGGGTGAAACCCCTGATTTGGAGGAAGCCCCACAGAGTGTAGTGCCACACGGTAGAATGGACAGAACTGGGGACTTCAGTTGAGACGTCTATTGGTCCTGGTTCCGCTCCAGCCAAGTTCAGGCCCTTCAGCCGTAAAGCCAGCAGGGCTGCTCTTCCAGCATTCCAAGTCCTCATGGTATTGGTTGGTTTACTTAGAAATCAGTCAGTGACCTTGGTGGCAGCCAGAGAATCGTTTCATGGAAATTGCTGAGCTTGTCTTCATAGCAACTGCCAGGTTGCTTTGGAGATATTTATTCATCTATTTTCTGATCTATTACGAACCTACAGAAAAAAAGGCACTTACTGAACTCGTAGAAACAGCAGAAGGGTGGTTGCCAGGGGTGGGGGACATGGGAGATGTTGGTCAAAAAGTACCAATTTCCAGTTAGAAGATGAATAAGTTCTAAGGTACAGCATGGTGATTGTAGATAACAGTGTTGAACTATATACTCGAAAGTTGCCAAGAGAATAGGTCTTAAATGTTCTCACCCCAAGAAAGCCATGGTAATTATGTGACAGGATGGGCGAGTTAGATGATAATCATGTGGCAATGTGTAAGTGTATCCAATCTACACATTGTACACCTTAAAGTTGTACAGTGTTACATGTCAGTTATAACTAATAAAGTTGGGGGGTTGGGAGGGGGAAGCTACCAAACACTAAAACATTTCACTCCTCTGGATTCTATTCTAGAAATTATTCACATCCAATACCATTGTTCTAATCGATATGTACGTGCTGTTTTGTATTCTTCTTTATTCCTTTTCCCTTTTGGTAAAATAATAATTAATAGTAATAATAGGAAGCATTTAGTGAAGTTTCCTATGTACCGGGCACTGTTGTAAGTGCTTTTCTAAGCTGAACTTGTTACCCCCTGACGCAGCCTCGTGGGACAGGTACATTCATGATTCCCATGTTCCAGATGACGACACTGAACACACATCCACACACACATGACACACATCAGCGTGCTCCACCAAGCATGACGTGCTATCTCATGACATCACGATACCTCATCCTTTTGTGTTAAGGTGCCCCAGTCCCTTTAAAGAAATGTAGGTTGCTTCGTTTTGAAAAAGTTTGCAAATGTCTTTTTTGAAGCATGGGGGAAGGAGCAGGTGTCATTTCTTTGGGATGCATTTCCCAGAGTGGAGTTAATAAAGCCAAAGGGACAAACAGCTCAGTGGCACTGGTGACACATGCCAGTTCTCTCTTCTGAAAGGCTGGGCCAATTTTCGATGCCACTGGCAACACACACGTGGGTTTGCTCCCCTGCGTCTCTGCTGAGGTTGGTCTTTGTCATTCTAATCTGTCGGCTACATGTGGTCCACAGGGCTTTCGTTGCCATAGCAGCCTTGTACGGCGTGCAAAATATGTTCTTCCAGAATCCTACGAAGTTAGCGACGAGGAGTATTATCCCTGTTCTGTAGACAAGTACACGGAATTATGTAGTAAGTCAAGGAAGCTCATTTGGCCAAGGGTACATGAAAAAGGGAAACCCAGACTTGCTGTTACTTTAGGAATATTTGGTTGACCATGGGTATAAGAGAACAGAAGGAACTTCCCATTTCACAGTCATAGCCTGTGTTTTATAGTGTATTATATCATTTAAACACATAACCCTGTAAAGAAGATGTTAGCTGTGGAGCTAGTAAGATTCGCAGCCAGTCTGGCCAACCCCAAACCCATTAAATTCCCATCAAATGTGTACTTAATAAGATTTATATTAAGATATACCTGACTGAAGTAAGTTACCTAAGAGCAGACTTGGTAGGAGGAAGAAGAGGCTATTGCCTGGAGAGGGTGAGGTGCAGGGAAGGGAGGTTCTGAGGATAAACTGCCTGACTCTCCTCCCTAGACTAGAATGTGACCACCCCACATGTGGGTTCGGAGAGTGGGTCCCAGGTCCCGTGACTAATCTGAAGCAGAACTCATTTACCACTCGGGGTCTGCACCCACCAGATCAGCTCCATCCATAGATTTTGGGGCACCTGCCTATAGCTCTCAGCCTGTCACCACTGCCACCTGCTGCCACTCCAGGTGGGGCTCCTCCCCCTCACTCTGCTTAGAGAAATAATCACAGCTAGGGCTTCCCTGGTGGCACAGTGGCTAAGAATCCGCCTGCCAGTGCAGGGGACCCCGGGTTCGAGCCCTGGTCCAGGAAGATCCCACATGCCGCAGAGCAACTAAGCCCGTGCACCACAACTACTGAGCCTGTGCCCTAGAGCCCGCGAGCCACAACTACTGAGGCCCAGGTGCCTAGAGACCATGCCCCGCGACAAGAGAAGCCACTGCAGTGAGAAGCCCGCACACCGCAACGAAGAGTAGCCTCCACTCACCGCAACTAGAGAAAGCCCATGTGCAGCAACGAAGACCCAACACGGCCAAAAATAAACTAAATTTTTTTAAAAATTAAAAAAAAATAATCACAGCCAATCACAGTGGGGTCCTTCTGTGCCAGACACCAGGCGGAGCAGTTTATGTGTTAATTCCATCATCCTGCACAATCACCCTTACAACCATTTTACAGATGAGGAAACTGAGGGAGAGAGAGAGAGGTTAAGTCAGTTGCCCAAGGTCACACAACTAGGAAGTGGATGCTGAGAATGACTTCCAGGTTTCTGGTTTAAATACTTGAGTGAATAATAGTGCCATTGGCTAAAATGAGTTCAAAAGAGATTTGGGGAAAATAAGTAGAAATAATAAATTCAACCTGCTTGTGGAAAAGTCCTGTAGCAGCATGAAGGTATGGGGACGGGGCTGTAAAGAGAATCGTGTGCTGGAGGCAAAGATGTGGAGGACCTTGGCGGGTGGCGTTGTGGAAGTGACCTCCCTTGAAGTCATGTCCAGTGAGAGAAGAAGCAGGCCAGGATTCAGAAGGTTGGCCGAGGAAGAAATTAGGAAAGAGGCTGGCCGAGATGGGCTGTGGAGAGGGAAGAAGACGAGGGAAAGGAAAGTTTCAGTTACTGAGAAGGAAAGGAGTGACTGACGAAGCCCAGCATCACATCAGGGTGCCATGATGGCAACGCAGCGTCTGTTGGATTGACAGCTGACCACTGGCCACCTTCTAAAGGGCCAGTGCAGTGAATGATGGAGTTGGAAACCGGACTTAGTGGATTAAGAGGTTATAGATGAGGAAATTTTATACATGAGCATAGGTTCCATAAAGAAACTCGGTTGTGAAAGACATTTTAAACCCGTTATTGGTACTCGATTCTCGCAGATGGCGCGTAAACTTGAGCCTCTCCTCCACGGAGGATGTCGGCAAGGTGCAACGGTGACCTCAGGATACACGAGGAGAAGCACGATTGTTGAAGGAATATGTGCCTTCATTTGGCTGAGGAATTAGCAGGACGGTTCTCATTAGCGAACAGGAGTAGCTGGCTAGCGCAGTGTCATTTTTGCTGGAGAAACACCTTGAGGGTGTCATCATTTGTACAGATGAAGTTGTGTGGTGAGGGTAGGTGGGTGTGCGTGCACGCGTGCGTGCGTGTACACACGCACCTGTGCCTGAGAATGTGGAGTGATGATAAAGTAACCTGAGTCTTAAAGGAAGACTTCCAGTTCATTGTCATCCCCTCAGAATACTTGTTCTGGAAGGTGCTGTGTTAACTCGGACAGGCTGCTGTTACTGGAAATGTTACTGGATGTTCTTGCACTGAGGACCTTCACAGTTAGGGAACCCTCTTTGGAATAACTACAGAGATGGCAAATCCTGCTCTTTCGAGGGTGACGTTGATCTGGGGGATGGTCAATAGTCGGTCAGAGTCATGACTGGTGATGACGCAAGTGGCCAGTTGGGCTCATAAAGATAACAAAAAGCTCACCGTCTGGTCTGCTGGGTCTCCTTTGTAAATCCTTCAAATGCTTTCCCATGTGTTCCCCCGACTCTCCAAGGGGGCCACGAGAGCTGGGAGACCAGTTCTGTTGGGACGGGCGCCCAGGGGTGAGGAATTTGGTGCTCCGTCAGCTCTCCGTTGGCACTGCTGAGGCCACGCAAGTCAGAGGACGGTTTCGAGGCACTTCCTTGCTCACTGGTGCACCGTCCGTAGCCGTGGCAGCAGCTTGCGGGGCTGTGCAATCTGGGGAAGGACAGGTTTCCACGGCTGTTGAGCCTAGATGGAAAGAGAGGCTGCTGTGCTCTAAGCTCTCCAGGTGCACAGAGCAGCGAGAGGTTCTGCCGTGCAAGGCCGGCCTGAACTAAGCAAACCTTCCACTTTGTCCCTTACAGGAAAGAGAGCTGAACAGCCCCTTCAGGTGTGAGTGAGTTGTGTGTGTCTGTGTGTTGTGGATTCCTTGTCTTCTCTCTACTTGAAGCTCTTCTACAGTAATTGCATTGTCCTAAAAAGGAACTAGCCTCTCCTTTTGATTCCCACACCTCGCCGATCCTGTGAGCGCTACCTGGGATCCTTTGGGGGACATTTTTAAAACAGACTTGGTCAAATCAGGCCCTTCCCAGATGGACTTAGGAACTACATGAGGATGATTTAAGTTGCACTCGGGGAGCAGAGGTTTATGGCAGCAACCAAACTGTTGTGGAAGAGTTTCTCTCTGCTGCCTTTTTTTTTGATTCTTCTCCTCAAGAATATTCGCGTCATGCCTGATTTTCTCACTAAAGGAGGTGTACGCAGAGGTCCTGCTTCCTTGGGGCTGGAAACCCGAAGGGAGTACCCAGTTCCTATTAGTTTCCCCTTGGTGATCGGCCAGATCTCTGCCCAGAACTAAGTGGGTGTTCTTGGGATACATCTGCCTATAGGGAATAGTCACAGGAAGCAGCCTGTGTTAGGGCCCAGAGTTTTAAGTTATTTTTTCTATTATAAAATTATAGGGAATTCCCTGGTGGTCTAGTGGTTAAGACTCCGTGCTACCACTGCAGGCGGCATGGGTTTGATCCCTGGTCTGGGAAATAAGATCCCACAAGCCATGCGGTGCAGCCCCCCGCCAAAAAAGTTATAGATACTCGCTATGCAAATTTTAAAATACAAAAAGTGGTGATATCAAAAATAGAAAACTCACAGAATACCACCAGCTAAAGTTACTGTTAACACTTTGTTATATGTACATCTGTCTTTTTTCTGTGCAAACCCGTGTGTTTAAAGAAGACACATGGATAGATAGACAGACAGCTAGGTTCCTTAATATGGCATCATGTTGTACATACCGCTCTGTGATCTCCCTTCCTATAGCACCAAACTTCTAGAACATGACTTCTACAGACTACACCCTATAACATTGCATGCACGTTCCTTAATTTATTTAAATTCGATTCCCTCTTTTTGCCCTTTAGAGAACCAGTGTCATTTTTTACGATTCTTTTCATCATGAAGGAAATGGGCATTTGCAGAGTTCCCGGTAGTCTGTTGGGATGGGACTTGAAGCTTAGACTTTCCTTCCTGGCCTTCTCAGGGACTCTGCTGCTCTTTTCTCCTAGGAACTCCCCAGGTTTCCGGCGGGAAGCCTCTTGGCACCCTGGAGTCCTCGGGGCCACCCAGCCAGCTCCCGCCTGCTGCCACCTCCGCCGCCCACATGAGCCTGCTCGACATGAAGAGGAGTGTGGCCGAACTCAGGCTCCAGCTGCAGCAGATGCGACAGCTCCAGGTACAGACCATGTTCCCTGTGGATGGTGTCCGCTGACTGAATGGCCCACAGTCAGCTTCCTCCTCCTCCCATCGGCCTCCTTCCACATCCCTGGCCCCACGGCACCTTCTCGGGGTTCTTTCCACCATCCTTTCTAGGGATGACTGAGGACCAGGTGCAGGCGCCGTTCCGCAGTGGTCTCCTCTCCCACGCACATAATCTTGGTCTAGAACCTTCCACTGCAGTGGTGGTCTGTAGCCTCTTCTCTAAGCTGGGTATGCTTCTACACACGAAAAAAGCATTAAGCCTGTGCTTTTTGGAGGAGAGCTGAAAGCAGAAGAGCCCGTGGAGCGTTCTAAAGCCAGTTACGACTTCCTGCTTCACAGTGTTTAGCTCTTCCCCACTGAGCATGTGCAAAGGTGCTGCGGGCAGCTCAGGTGTTTTGCAAGGAGCTATGATGTGTTTAGAAATAGGAGTTCAGACCGGAGGGTGAATTCCTAAGGAAGAGGAGCCATCATGGATGGCTTGAGAAGAACATCTGCATTTTATTTGGGTAGGTGTGTGCGCCGCGATATTCTCCTGACTCGCTCCCATTGTTAGGAATCTATGCACTACACAGGAAGCAAAGGGCAGGGGGAAATGACCCTTCGTGTCACGGGTCTTGGTGAACAAATCCCATAAGTCTGACGAGGCAGGGTGGTGAGGACCTGGGAGGAGGGTGTACCTTTATGAGATCATCTGTCTGCACCACGGATGAGTCTCCCGTCTCTCTGCCCTTGGTGGCAGGTTGATGAATGTGCATGTAGTGCTGGCTTAGGCTATACCCAGGCGTCCTCCTGGACTTCGAGAAGCTCCCAGTGCAAACGTTAGTACAAGGCACACGTAGCCAGGAGCAGCCATACAGCTATGGTGCCCTCCGTGGGTTGCAGGCTCCTGTGCTGGTGCGTCCGGGAAGGAAAGGGCTTCAGAGCACAGCTGCTCTCTCCCTTCAGCTCGCCGATGCACGAGTCCTGCATTTTCCACAGCCTGAGTAAAGCTTAGAAGATGATTTCCCCTTGCCCTCTACCTACTGGAGAACAAACAGGAGGGGAAGGTAGCTTGAGAGCCTGCCTTGAGGTCCCATCACCGAGCAGGCTGCTCATGCTTAGGTCCCCAAAGGCTACTCTGCCTCTCAGGCAACGTCCCAGATTCCTGGACAGCCCATGCAAATTCGCTTAAATCCTCTTCTGAATCGTGTCACCGGGGAAGTTCCCCATCCTTTACGTTCGCTCCTCCTTGCTTTGTGATTTTAAAGACACTTTGCAGTGAGATGAAGTGTACAGGTTGGGCTGAGGGCGTGTGCAGGGTGCCAAAATCCAGTGCCCACAGTGCCTGGCGTTAACTTGAGTGGACGAGGGACAGTGACAAGTGGCCTCTCTAAAGGACAGTTGCCACTCAGCCCCAGGCAGCTCTTGACCTGGTAGAAGGAGAGTCCATTGTTTCTAGATGTTTCAGTATTTCAAGAGAATCTGGAGGTTTTATATAAAATACCTGTACTCATTCTAAAAATGTTGGAAGGTAATTTAAAAATCAGTTCTTTCGTACTCTGCAGGCCAGAGAGGGTCTGTGGGCTCCCAGGTTCTTACCTGGAGGTTGTGGAGGTTAAGCCCCCATCTTGCGCTGCATCTGCCTTTTAGTGCCACCTGCTGGTCATTTGGAAATTGTGCACTCCTGGTTGGACCTTCACAAGAAAAAAACTCCTAAATGCGTCGTGTGTATGGTAGTTCCTACTGCTTTCAAAGGTGAGCATCTGCTGGTTTGGGGCACAGGGGGAATTGCCCTGAGGTGTGGCGAATTTGATACCTAGGCCGTGATGTGTGAGGCTGCAGCATCACCCTGCTGGTGGCCGGCAGTGTTTGGTCCTCTGGCCAGGAGGGAGGGCTCTCCCACTTGCCGCTCCTTGTAACCCATGAACTGGGGAGGCTCAGTTGCAAAATCACAGCTTCTCAAACAAAGAGGTTCTCTAGTCAAGTCCGGGACACTATCTTAACCACGCAGTTTTCTTTATTGCCCCGGAGCTGCTCAGCTTTCCTGGTTTCTGGGTAAAGGACACCGAGCAGGTGTGCTCTTGAGCTGAGACTTTGGTACAGTTCTAAAGCACAGGCACGTGGGGGAAGAGAAGCACTTTGTTTCCTAACCTGGATGCTCTTATTTCTACCTTGGTCTTGGCATCCTCCGTGCCCCCATCAGCTTTAAGGGGAGTCTATTTGAGACAAAACCAGTTTAGAATAATTAAGCTATCTCAGCACCAATCCCCCCTCAGCACATGTATTATACACCAAAAGTAAAGTGCAACCCCCCAAAATGATTATAAGCCCAATAATGGAGCTATGATTAGAGAGCTCCGAAACTCCAGAACAGTCTCAAAAGAACAAAAATTGAATTAGAAATTCAAATGTTCTTTGAACTGTGTTATAAAATAGTGAAAATGAATGAAATCTGTTTGTGCTTGGCAGCCGGCTCCAGTAATTAGATAATTAAATCAATGGGGAAATCCTAGACTGTCAAGCATAGTCTATTTGAGCATTTCATTTGCAGAACTGATGGATTATTCTCCAAAGCAGAAATTTGATGCAGGCATTGTGGGGCGTATAGATTTAAATAGAGCAAAGAGAATGTTGAGGGAGGTGAAGGAGGCTGAGAAAATGATGCAAAAAAACGTGAAAACTTCGCTCCTGTCTTCCTGCTCACCAGTCTCGCGTGAGTTACCAGTCTCAGAGAACGGTTCTTAATCCTGGCTATGCATTAGAATCACCTGAGGGCTTTCACAGACATGTTGATACCCAAACACCCCTGCCAGAGTCTGACTTCATTGGTATGGGTCAAAGGCCAAGCACTGGTGGTTCTAGAACGTCCCAGGGTGAGAACTACTGCTCTCAGATAGTATGAACTCTCAGTCCATTGAGATGCCTTTTGGAAATTGAGATCTCAGCGAGCTGTCACAAGGGGTGAGGCAGAAACACCCTGTAAGCATGAAAAACACACCCAGTGGCTTCAAAGCCCCGATTCTAAACAATGCGCCTCATTCCCAGTGGCTAATCAGACGTATTCTCTGCTCAGTCATAAACGATAAGAGCTATATGGAACTTTTACATTGTGATGGTCCCACTCCCAGGTAAGGGCTGCACCTGCAGTTAGCTGGCAACAACGGAAAAAGAGACAGGGGAAGGTCTGGCACCTAATAAATGTGCCCTTCAAAAGATGATTGTCTACTACCTTTTCTGGTATGATGTAGAAAGAAAACAAAAGTGATGAGCTGCATCTTTTTTCCAAAATGCCACCATACTTGGGTTTTACTAAGGTCGTCCAGTATCCACAGAAGTGGCTGCAGTTCTGCCCCCCTTTGTGGGCTTGAGGGGAGAGAGAAATTTCTGGAAGAGCGGGTTCAAGTTCCTCGGGGGTGCAGATGAGACTTGGCCTCCTTCTCCAGTTCCCACAATTTTTTTCTTTGTCCCTTATCTCTTCCTTGTGCTTCCCGATAAACTGAAAATTATTCTGAACTTGGTGTTCCATTTTTAAGACTACTGAGAATTTACTGTGTGTTCCCAAGAGAGGGAAGAGGTAAGACATCAACATAAAAAAGAAACATAGCAGGACACAGAGCCATTGTACTTGAAATGATATAATTCAGCAGTTATCTTAAGGTGTCTTTTCATAAGATAGTGCCTCAGAAAAATGTGCCAGAGTCTCCTTTATCTTCTGACATTCAAAGTAACGGTCATGGGAATGTGTGTCGCTGAGGAAAGCACTCGAGAGGTTGGCCTGTGCTGAGCAGGCCTATTTCTCCCCACCAGGCAGAAATAATCAACGGAACTAGCACAGGAGTTGACAATCAGGCTGCCATACAATGTATCAAGCCCTAGATAGACCTGCACACAGAGGCTGTCTAAGACGGGGCAACATCTCCCAGATAACACGTGCTTGTGAAAAGGCATCCGATACCTGGTTCCCTACAGCCTGGGGAGCTAAGCTGGGTGGTCAGGAGTCATTCTGGGGTCTGGCTGTTAGGAAACTTCCTGACCTGTTGTACAGCCACTGTTTACTGTCACTGCTGGACAGCAAAATCAGTTCAATTAAACGACACTGTTGGCAAGACCGACGGTCTTAAATTTTACCTGAGAAATCAAATGAGTATGTGAGGTACGTGTCCATTTTGAGGTGGGGGGAATTAGGTTTAGGCAGTTTCCTAGCTTCTCAGTGAAGCTGATATGGATAACTTGTTTGGGCCACTTAAATTTTTAATAGCGAAGAGCGTTACTTCCGTCTGAGTATTTTTGTAAAAACATCAAGGCACAGAATAAACTGAAGTTTCCAGAGATGAAGGGATAACTACAACTGTGCTTGCCTTCCTCCTGTTGACATCTAGAACACTGAAAAATAAGTAAATGTGTGAAACAACTCTATTCAGACATTGGACAACAGACAACACGGAGTGTGATCCTTAGGAGAACGGAAGGAAAGGAGGTGAAACCTGTAACTTCCTCAGCTTTCTGTCTGGGGACACTTTTTAGACTGTGACGCGGAGAGGGATAACCCAGAGCACTGACCATCCAGCTGAGTTGAGGGTAAAGAGCTGAAGCAGCTAGAAGTTGTGGAGCGAAGTACCAAATAAAAGGAAGGTCTGCGGGAAAGAATTATGTAAATCTGTGGATCTGTTGTCTACCAGTAATCCAAGCATGTGTATTGTGAAAGACCACTAAGCCAGACACAAAGTGGGAGGCTGTACGCCAGAAATTTCCCAGAGCTCACACAGGGAGATGTTTATGTCTTAACCAGCAGGCACAAAGAGGTTTTATTAATCACCTGGGGCATTCAGTAGCAATCAGAGAAAGGCCATGCTTCAGTCTTAAGACTAAACTAGCCCTAGAGTAAAGGCTACCCTAGATTCACCCTGACAAGGCTTAAACACAAGCTTCTAAAGAACAAAAATGGTCCACAAGGAGCTAACCTGTCTGCCAAAGGAAGTCTAACATCTGTAAAGG